CAAAGAGAGCAGAAAGTAGTTACAATTGCAAGTTTATAAAGAAATGCTCTAAGAAAAGGAGGAGAGGGGAATCTCTTTGATTTTCAGGAGGAAAATCAAGCTCCTTAATTTCTTTTTTTTAATTAAAAATTATTTATTTATTTTTTGCTATAGCATGTGAGGGAGAGAGAGAAAGAGAGAGAGAGAGGGAGATATCACCCCCCAGAGGGGTTGCCACATGGCATTTCTTCTCCATTCTTCTCTCTGGGTTTTGGACACACACGTGCTTGACATGTTACTCAAGCTGCCGGTGCAGAATTAGACCCATGCAGCTGGCCATGTGTACTTCAGCACCTTAACCACCACGCCACCTGCTGGCCCAAGCTTCTTAATTTTTTTAAAGTTTATTTCTTTGGAGAGGGGGATCCCCAACAGGGTCCTCACACCATAATCCCCCCCTCAGCCTCAGCCAACCTCCATCACAGACATGCACACATGCATCTTCCTGGTCCTTGAGAGGTCACCTTGTGGACTTTATAAAATAAAATGAAAAATATATGTATATATAAATAAAAATAGAAAAAAAGAAAGAAAGGCAGAGAGGGGCATATTTTTTTGGTGGGGGGAGGTTTTTGCTATAGGGCGCGTGCGCTCGCCAGACAGAGAGAGACAGAGAGACAGAAAGCGAGAAATCACCCCCTGGGGAGATGGTCACACAGCAATCCCTTCTCCTCCATTCTCCTTTCGGGATCTTGGGCATGCACGCACACGCGCCCGGCGTGAGTTTAAGCCACCGGATCCGGGACGCGAACCACGGTCGACTACGTGGGAGTCCAGCGACATAGCTATTACACTAACTGCTGGTCCCAAGAGGGGGCATTTTAATAATTTATCAAAGACCAGGCAAAATGATGGATTCAACTGTGGAGTTTTGATTTAAAGTTTATGTGAAGATTCATGTAGAGATAGCCCAGAGGGGTGTAGATATAAGGGACGGGAAACTTGGAGACAGGGATGTCATGGGTAGAATTTTGGAAGTAATTTGTAAAGATGGGTCTGGAACAGGCGCTGGGAGGGTGTGGGGTGAGAGGAGCGGAGGTCCACAGACAGGACGAGGACCAAATTCCTCCTCCTGTGTCTCTGGGCCTCAGTCTTTCCACCCACCTGGTTGGGGAGAAAATCCCCGCCCTCTGTGCCCCGAGGGTCCCTGTGCTCCCCCTGAGGTTCCTGTGTCCCTGTGCCCTGCCCTCCCCGGGGCCGCCTTCCCCACACCTCCCCTAGAGGGTGTGCTGACAGGCTCCCCCTGGGCTGTCCACGTGGAGGCTCCACTGGGACCCCTGGGCCCACGTCAGGCTCCAGGTCCCCACAGCTTTTCTCCTGCAGAGGTGGGCCCTGCCCCTCAGGGGCACATCCGAGGGCCCGAGGAG